TCTCTCTCTCTCTCTCTCTCTCTCTCTCTCTCTCTCTCTCTCTCTCTCTCTCTCTCTCTCTCTCTCTCTCTCTCTCTCTCTCGCGCTCGCTCTCTTTTAATCAGAATCAGTCTCAGCCCAGCCCTCTCTGGATTTCTGAAAGGGCTGGAAAAAAGTCGAAAAATCCCAAAACAAATTTTGGGGGGTTGGGCCATGAACGAACCAATTTTTTTTATTTTTTTTTTTCAAATTCCGGACCTACCGGACCAGACGTCCGCCCCGACATCCAGACGCGGACGGTCCGGACGGTAACCATAATTTTTGGGATCCTTTTTGTTTCCCCACCCCCTTGCTGGCACCTTCCCTATCCCAGCTGGTAGCCTAGGCGGTGACCCGGGCGGCCCAGCTGGTAGCCTAGGCGGTGACCCAATTTGTGAGCGATTTCCAGATGCTCCGTTTTGAAGCATTGCATAGTTGCGGGACATCACACGGTTCTGGATGACAGATGCATAGAGAACATGGTCCTGCGCCAACGACCAATAAATGACGCTTGTTCTAAGCAGCAGAGAGATGTTGAGGTTCAAAGCACTTTGTTGCAATGAAGAATGGACATGGAGCATGTAATCAAAACTCGTTGCATTAAAAAAAATAATAATAATAAAAAAAAAATCGCTGCATTCTTTAGATGAACTAAGAACGTTTGTTACGGGGCATTGCAAAATCAGTGAATCATGGGATGGGGATTTAGCTACGATGTTGAAGTGCTTGTCGAGGGGCTGGTGGGTACCTGCCACCCACAAGCTTTACGCTTATTAAACAACAGCACGGTTCGTCAGACGAAATACACTCCCAGAGTCACAGAATAACTGGACAGACCACAAACGAATACCAGATAATAGTTATAACTTATAACCTAGTTGGCTAATTGGCTATGAAATAAAAATAGAAATGGTGACCGACCCGGAAAGGGAGGTGAAGTAGTGAATCGAAATGACAAGCACAGCTCTCTTGCCACACTGATCCCTTACCTGAAGTACAGGAGCAGTAGTCTGCAGCTTCTTGACATCTGTGGGTCGCACCCGTGAAAGGAAGGAAGTTAGGATGCAGATTAACTTGCGAATCGTTGGCAGCTACTGAATTGTATACTACAGGGTGCGGTAGAGTCTAGGGTGGGGTGGGGTACGCCCTAGGGTAGCGTGCTTGTGACTCCACAGGCAAACAAGGAAGAATGCGATGAGCATCTTAAGTAAATTTGTGGCACAGGATGGTGTCACAAACTGCCTCCGACGACTAAAGACCAAACGTTTGTGCGAACAGACACTCTCGACCCCCTGCTGTGAACAGAACTGGAATGGGGCGTGGAGGCGTTGATGAACCTGGTCAAGTTGAGCTTCATACTCCTGTTCATTTCACTTCAGATCTTCAGCTTATACAGTCTTTGTGTCCGTCCTTCATCTTCATACTTCCATTCATTTTATTTCTGATCTTCATATTCTTCATATCGTTTGTTCTCTGAATGATGCTCATTCGTATGTATTTGTTAGTAGCACAAAGGGAGTGGAGGGGAGGGTGGAGGGTAAGGGATAGAAGGCGGAGTTCTATAGGAGTATGGGGCAGGGGAGGTAGGGGCAACAGGAAGGAAAGAAATATGTGGAAGGCAGGATAGAGTATGACATGCAAAGAGCAGGGAAGAGGTGTATGACAAGGTTCACAGAATTCTAAATATTCACCGCTGAAACAGACTACTCTGGCAAAAAAAACCTATGGCAAGTGGCCACCCCTACAGACCGGACAGGACCGGTTCGGGTGTGGGCTATGTATGGAAGCACCACATCCAATTTTCGCAGTCACAGTTGCTGCATCGAATGGCACAACACAGAAAGATGTCACATGCTACGTAACTCCTACATGCTAGGAACACAGCGGCACGTGGACCTCAATTATAGAGGCATTGCCGTTCCAGCCCCTGTCTACAAATTGGACACGACATGTCGGAGTGCCGTACATGAGTACAGTACTGACTGCGTGTGTGTGGGTGTGTGTGTTGTTAAAGTACCCCAAATTCTCTCTCTCATTTCCTCCACAAATCAGACAAAACCATCCATAACGAAAAGGTATAGATAGCTAATATAATAGAAAATGCAAGGTTGGCCACGTTTGTGTGGCTCAGCGCCAAGTGCCCACACACCCGTCTGCCACCGAAGTGGCACACTTGCACATATACATATGTATATATGTGTGTTACAAATTATCACCAC